CCCCCCGGTGCCCTGCGCGCCCCCCCTGCACCGGGGGCTGCTGCACCGCAGGAGCGAGTCCAACCACATGAGCGTCAAGAGGCTGCGGTGGGAGCAGGTGGAGAACTCGGAAGGGACCATCTGGGGTCAGGTACAGCCCGGGCGCGGGGTGCAGGGAGCGGGGAGAGGGTCCAAACCGCAGTCTGGGGAGCGGTTGCCTGTGCAGGTCGGTGGGAGCATCCACGGGCGTTGCCCTCCTCCCTGCCCAGAGCGCTGGGGGGGCTGTCCCCTCCCCGGAGCATTGCGTCCTAACCTCTTGTTGGGCCACACATTCAATACCTTGGCCAAGGGAATGAAGATGCCACGTTACAGAAAGCCTCATATTTCTTTTCATCCTTTTAATTGTATGGACCAAAACTGCCGGGATGAGAAGAGGCTCTGGAAAGCACCTGAAATGTGTTTTTTTTTCCTGCAGCGTCGTGGGGAACGCTTGCTTTCCTGCTCTCTGTGGGTTGACATAGGCAGGAGCTGCCTTCAAGACATGTTCTGCAGCTGTAGGAGGTTTTATCAGTGGGAAACCGTGAGGATGGTTGAAAGCAGAGTGATGGGGAGAGCACCGAGGCAGGGGAGGACACCAGAGGGGGAGAGCAGAGGCAAAGAGTGAGGCTAGATGTGATAATCCTTTGGCATCATGGACTTGAAGAGATGCAGAACTCCAGAGGTGGATTCGAGCCCCTGTAGGGAGAAGCTGGCCTCCCTGGAGTTGAACTTCCAGCCTCCGTGTCTCTCATGGTGATGAACGTGTTCAGATGTGCCATACTCTTCGTGCCCTGAGCAGCTAGAGGGGAGCTGTGGGATCATCTTCCAGTCCCACAGGCACCCACCACGTAGCAAGCACTTGAAATCCTGCAGGTCCCTCTCCCCGGCACTCTGGAGAACAAGATGCTTCTTCCCAGTGATTTTTTTGTATGCAAAAAATTCCTGAAGTTTCTGGAATTCCCACTTTGTCCGTCAGTAAAGCAACGTGCCCAAGTAGCAAGTGAAGAGCAGTAGTGCTCTGTAGGATTCCCGCTGCGTCAGAAGCTAAATGAATCCTCAGGGCAGTGCCACCAGCTGCAGGGTGCAAGGAAATGCTGACGGGGTGAATCTCCGGGTTTCTTCCTTTCTTCTGAAATGAGAACGGGTCCCACCAGACAGGCTTAGTGACTTGTGTAGAAACTGCCTCCACAAAGGTGAACGGTTCACCAGGCTCTGGTTTCTGCACAGGGTCTATGATGGCTGAGTCTCCAGTTACAGGACAGTGCCATCAATCTGTCCTGGTTTCTTCTAGGGACACAGAGTTTAGTGTGGGGCGGAGGGAAGGTGGCCCAGTGCAGGCGGGCAGTGTCGGGCCGTCCCCTGCGCCAGCATGGCTCCTGACTCTTCCTCCTCCTGCAGCTTGGGGAAGACTCGGATTACGACAAGCTGAGTGATATGGTCAAATACCTTGACCTGGAGCTGCACTTCGGGACGCAGAAGCCTACGAGTAAGTACCTGAGCCCCAGAGCAGGTCCTGGTACCGGCCGGAGGCTGGAGCGCTGGGAGGAATGGGCCGTCCCCTGCACCAGCATGGCTCCTGACTCTTCCTCCTCCTGCAGCTTGGGGAAGACTCGGATTACGACAAGCTGAGTGATATGGTCAAATACCTTGACCTGGAGCTGCACTTCGGGACGCAGAAGCCTACGAGTAAGTACCTGAGCCCCAGAGCAGGTCCTGGTACCGGCCGGAGGCTGGAGCGCTGGGAGGAACTGGGGCTTGGTGGGCAGCAAGGCAATGCCTGGTTCTAGCATCACCCGCACCACAGAATTCATTCATACTCAGAATTTTGTGGCTGGTGGCACAGCAGATCATTAAGGTGGAGATTGTTTCACTATCTCCCTTAATTTTCTTCACTGCTGTTATCTGTTTTCTCTCCGCATTTCAGTCGATCCGGGCAGTGAAACTCAGCTGGAGGGTTTCGCTCCCCGTTGCGCTCAGTGCAGCTTCCCGGCTCTCATAGCGCCTGCCCGGCCATCCCCATACCGCGGGGAACACTGGTGTGCCAGCACCGCTCTGCAGTGCCACGAGGGGCCTGGTTTGCAACACAACAAAAGCTCAGACCTGCACCACGTATTATAACGATCTGTGCACAGCCTCTGCTTGTTACGCTCTGTGCAGTATGGACGGTCAGCTGGGCCGTCGGCATGCACGGGCACCGGGTTGTGCTGCAGTAGCAGTAACGGCTGCAAATTAGGATTGCAGCTCTGTTGCTTTGAGAACTCAGTCCTGAAAAAGCCGTGAAAACATTTCTCTGTCCGTAGAGAGCGTTACAAGCAACACTTTTCTTTTTACATATATAGTAAGTTAGTTCCCCCCAAAACTGACATACGGGGTCCGTAGCTACCTGCCAGTGCAGCCTTCCCACTGCTCTTGAATCGGGGTCTCCTGCAGACCCACTGACCAGGCTCTCCAGCCCACCGGGGTTTTTGGGCGCTGCAAACCCAGAGAGCGGGTCCAGGCTGGGGGTGCCGAGCGGTGGTGGCCGGGGTGGCCACCCTGCGCAGCGGGAGGCATTCGGGGCGTGGGGTGACAGCGGTGCGCTCCTGCCGCCCCGCAGCCTGCCCAAAGGGAGGCGTGGGGCAGCACGGCTGCCTCATTTACACCGGGAAAAGTAAAATGCCAGTGGGATGTCTGAGCTTTCCTGCAAGGGACATGATGCGTGATGGCAGTATAGGCAGAGCTAAGCGAGAGCGGGCAGTTACAGATGGGACGGGCAGTGGAAGTGGGATGAAATGGGATTCTTCTCAGGGAGTATCTTTTTTGGGATGTTTCTGGGCAGTCTGGGATTTTCAGTGTGTTTCACCTCTCGTTTTACCTTTTTCAGCTCCAACTGAGTCCTCCATTGAGGAGATCTTTGAATCGCAGAATTCAAGGATTCCCAGAGCCATTGCTGTGTGCAAAGCATCAGTTCTCCTCTCTTTCATTCATGGTTTCACTGTTTTCAGGACAATTTTTTTCCTGCTGGAGCCAGCTGAGCCTGTCCTTACCCATGATTAAATCTTTCAGTTTCTCTTCCAGAGCCAACTCTCATGCCTGAAAGCTTTAAAAAGAAAGACGTGGTTGAAATTTTGTCCCACAAAAAGGCCTACAACACATGTAAGTAAACATCATGGTGAACGTACCCCCCCAAAACGGGCCCAGAGATGGGACCGGGGATGTAAAGAACTGGAAAGGTAAAAGGAGGGAGGCTTCATGAGCACAATCCCACGAGCACAATCCCAGCACAGCTCTGCTGGTCTGGGCTGTTCCTGCAGCCCAGAGCCCCTCTGGGCTGGGCTCAGCCCCGGGCAGGGGGAAGAATAAGGCTTTACAAGAAAGGACGGAGATGGGATGTGACTCATTGGCCTGGGGAGAGCGAGGGGAAGAGCTTGCATGGCCCCGCGGGGCAGCGAGGGTGTGCGGGGCCGCCCTGCCGCCCACCGGGGAAGGGTCAGTGCTGCTTCTCCGGGACGTGCTTCTGGTAGGCAGAAGGGTGGGAGGGCTTGGTGGGACCATGCGAGCTCCTGGTCTCCTGGCCGCGGGGGACGTGGGAGAGGAGGAGGCACTGGGGGTGGTTTCCAGCACAGCCCGGCTTGATGTGTCGGTGATGTACATGCACGACGATGCAATGCCCTGGGGGGGACTGCAGGACCAGAGGGACTCCTCGGGGCCCCCGCGCAGCCTCTGCAGGCCCTCGGGGAGCAGAAAGCCCTTCCTCTCCCCAGGGCTGACCCTGTGCCAGTGCGGGCACATGGAGAAGTCCATGCCACTCACACCGTGGAGAGATTGGTCTTCCCCTCCTGGCCTCGTCCTGCCAGGCAGCCTGTCCCCGGCACAGCCAACCCCTGGGGTCTGGGTCTTCTCCCCCTCCCAAGTGACGTGCCTCCCTTCCCCCAGCCATCCTGATAGCCCACCTCAAGCTCTCGCACATCGAGCTGCGCCAGATCCTCATGACGATGGAGACAGACCGCCTGGAGCCTTCCCACATCAAGCAGCTCTTGCTGTACGCCCCGGACGGGGAGGAAGTCCAGCGCTTCCAGAGCTACAAGGAGAACCCCGGCAAGCTGAGCGAGCCCGACCAGTTTGTGCTGCAGGTACCTGCGGGCAGGGACATGTTCCGGGAGCGAGGAGGTCTGCATGTGCAGTGTCCCCGGGATGTCCCGCTGCGAGCTGGAGGGGAGGGAAGCACGCAGCAGAGAGGAAGCAGTCAGCAGGACGCTGGTCTGCTCGTGCATGCTGTGGGGTGGGAAGAGCTGGTGGCAGCGGTCACAGGGACTGCCGGCGAGGGATGCTCAGGCTGATGTCTGAGGTGTCTGGCAGCTCCCACGGCGGGGGGGTTTTAGCCGAAGGATAACACGATGGTTTACCCA